GGGATATGTACGTGATTGATCGCTTGTGGGAGAAAAAAAAAGAAAACATGATTCTCGGTAACAATCGGTTATTTCATCGTTTTATTAAGTTTGACTTCTAACCGAGTTAAGAATTATTTATACATACGCTTGGATACGTAGTTTCGCACGGCGATTAAAAAAAATCTTGGCCGGGGGCACTTTGAGCTTTCGATCTGCTTTTGAGCTTATTCCGCGCGTTTAAGCGCAAAAGGGATGCTGGTTACAGTGGGCACACAGTATAAGTTGGCGTCCTGGCCTTCGGCTATAAGTCCTTGGCCTTTGTGGCCTGCTTGGGGTTGGTTAAGTTTTACGTGCTCCACCCATCGCCCCTGGATAGGTGCGTGCTTTTGGCGTGTGCTTGCGCATGTATGGTGTACCTTGATTTACTGTAGAAAAGCTCGGGAATCGTAGAGCCCCCGCGGTGCGATTGTTTAATTTTGCCCCAACGCGTGGTTCAGTCGTATCGCGTTTTGCCAATAACATGTATAAAGCATAGATGGAAAAGCTCGTCGATTATTGTGATCATGAAAAATGTCCAACTCCGATGACGATGTAGCTTTGATATACGTGGTAGCTGTTATCCACTTTGCATGATTATCGAAAATTCCACCCAACAGAGGAGAAAACAACATACGAGGGAGTAAACGAAAAACGGACGGGGTGAGAATAGGCATCCAGATATCCACTTGGCGACCTTCACTTACAGGAAACCGGTCTTACATATATATATATATACCATTAATATGTGCCGAGGAGCAAACGTCCGCGTACATCCGGCGTATACATGTATATATTATACTCTTGTGCCCAATACCATGAAAACGGAGCGTTGTTAGTAGGTATATAGGTAGTTTGGTGCAGGAGGCGACGAGGCGAAGGCGACAAAACGCGCCTCCTTCCACGTTGGAAAGGGTGAGCGAGAGAGAGAGAGAGAAAGACTGAGCTGGCCGTGCCACGTCTCCCCAATGGACCCCTATACATATGCACCGAAATAGGTATAGCCGCCACGCGGGCCACCGCCGTCCTCTCTCTCCCTCTCTCGATATGTCTGCCACTGACGTTTCCATATATCAAGCCCGCGCTATACGGTGTGTGTGTGTGTGTGTGTGTATACACGTATACGTATACACTTTCTTTCTCACCTCATATAATACCTACCCCCTTCAATATACGCTCCTCTTTCCCGCTCGTGCTCTTCAAAATATATAAGAACTTGCTGCCGGTCAAAAGCTCTCGAGTTGTGCGGCCTATCTATGTTGTATATAGGCACTTACGTTAACTAATATGCCACCAACACGCAAATATCGCGTATTACGCGCAAGAACGAGCTCAACCGGGATTTCGGAGAGGGGGATGGCGTTGTGGGAAATAGTAGGAGGAGAGGGGGTGTAAAAAGCTCCCCGATCTAATGCACACGCGATCCTTCGTCGTACCGATTTTAGGCTCGTTCGCCAGCTTTTTTTTTTTACACGCGAGTGATCGTTTCGACGATTTTGCCAAGCTAATGAACCATATCAATGAAAACGGCAATTTAGTCATATTTTCTCCCACAGAAGTTACTACGAAAATGGTACCGTCTTCGACGAGGGTCTGCCGTACGCCAAGCGTCCACTAGGGAATCCTTGGTCGAGCCACCATCACCAGCACGCGCCCAACCACCAGTATCACCACAATGCCCACCACCAGCCGACGCAACAGCAGCTCCCGCATCAGCAACATCACCCGGGTGACATACCGTACTGTTGGTACTCAACGCCCAACCAGCATCCGCACTCCATCATCCCGAGTTTGATGCAACCCGGCTACCCTGGCGCGCCCCTGCCGCACCAGCAGCCGGCCATCGCTCACACCGCTACCTCCGGTTAGTCGAGCGTCAAATTTTCCACATAATATATGGCCATGGCTTTGATTACATTAACGGGATGACCCGAAAGCAGCCGGAGCACCGGCCGGCCACCAACCGTCGTCTTTGGCCCAGAACGGCTCGTCGAGCCTCGAGGACGAGTGGAAGAACATCCACGTGATGCTTAACTGCATCCTGGGCATGGTGGACAAGACCAAGCGCGCCCTGGCCATTTTGCAGAAACGCGGCTGCACGAGCCCAGCTTCTTCCTCCTCCTCCTCCTCCACAGCCAACGGTGGCAACCACCAGGCGACGAACGGCGGTGGGCCAGCGCCGAGCAACGGGAGCCTGGATTGCGGCGAGGGCACGTTCAAGCGGCTGTCGGGCGAGATTGTCGCCCAGACCATCCGAGCCACCGAGGATCGCGTAGCCGAGGTCAAGAGGCGAGCCGGTGAGGGATACGATAAAATTGACAGACACGGCCTATACCCGAGGGAACACCTTGGTGATTGAATTTTCACGGTGTTGCAGAGGAAGCGGTGCAGGAGGTCAAGAGGGCAGCGGTGGCGGAGGTGCAGAGGGCCGTGGCCGCCGCGATGGCGGAATCCCGAGCCAACGAGCGACTCCGGGGTCAGAGGTACCTCGAGGGACCGCAGCAGCCGAGGACGGGCCAAAAGCACGGCAGACCCGGCCCGTTTTTGAGACTCGCCGACGCGAGAACCGCCCCCGGGGCGCCCACGACCACCACGGGGGACGAGCCGGATAAGGACGCCCACCATTCGGGCGCTGTGGCCACGGTGAGAGATCCCTCGTGTTAGAAAGGTTACACGTATTATACGTATGCATGTACTGATGGATGAAAATGACCGAGCAGGGCTGCTGGAACTGCGGTAGACAGGCCCTGGAGACCTGCGGGGGCTGCGGGGTGGCTCGTTACTGCGGCTCCTTTTGTCAGCACCGCGATTGGGAGGCCGGTGGGCACCACGCGACCTGCAGCAGTACCAAAGCCAACGGCCCGGCGGCTGGTCAACAGCAGCAGCAAGATAGGGCCAGATCGTCGACGCCGAGCCCACCGAGGGCCGCCAGTGCGGCGAGTGACTCGGATCCGGCCTCGAACAAGCCAACCTCGACGATCAGGGTGACCAAGTGACAAAAGAGCAGGGCAGCCAAGGCCGCTGCGTAGAGATGATTCTCCAGTTTGCTGATATATGAATAATCATATTAATATGTTACATGTATACACGGGGCATGTGTGGCGGGTCTAGTCGAGCTTTTTGGCGAGGAAATCGGTTTATGGCTACTTTGGTACTACTGCCCTAGTAACTGGACTGTGTGTCACGCGGTTCGGGGATATGTACGTGATTGATCGCTTGTGGGAGAAAAAAAAAGAAAACATGATTCTCGGTAACAATCGGTTATTTCATCGTTTTATTAAGTTTGAC